AGAAGAAGAAGAAGAAGAAGAAGAAGAAGAAGAAGAAGAAGAAGAAGAAGAAGAAGAAGAAGATGATTTGCTTGCTTCATGCACTCTCAAGTTTTGGGGCCAACTTCAGCCAGACTGTAGAGAAGAACAAGAGTACAAGTAAAGGATAACAATCCATGCGGGAACAATGAAGGTTAAGGCTTTTTCCAACTGTGACAGATGCTGCAAAAAAGCAAGGCACAGGATCTCTCTCTCTCCCCCTCCCTCTCCCTCCCTCTCTCTCCCCTTTCCTTCCCTCCCTCCCTCCATTTCTCTCTGTCTCTAACACACAAACAGGCACATTTTTATGAAGGTGGAGAGTATCAGGTCACTTTTTCCAAAGATCACGAGCAGCTTCGTTCCGGAGCCTTTGGGCGCCATAGGGTGGGCTCATACGACCCATACTAAACCCGGGTTACCAGCCTATAATATAATTTATTGTCAAATAATCAGCGACGCTCCGGTTTCACGCGATGGCCCACCCCATCCCCCTCCGCTGGCAATACGGCCAGGGCCGCCTCCGCAACGCCTGACAGTCAAGCCTAGCGGGAGGGTTTATCGGCGAGATTGGGCAGGGTAAGGAGAAGAAGGGCCGGCGGCTTCGTCCCGGGTCAGACCCGGCTCGGGGAGCGGAGAAGGCGCAGCCTCCGGCAGCGCTTCCCAAAGCGGCCCGATGCGCATCCAAAGCCGGGGTTGGCAGAAGGCCGGGGGTGCCAGGCGGCCCCGTAGCCCCGTTTGCAGCAAAGCCCAACGGCGCTACCCCGATCCCGGACGGAGCCCCCGCACCCACTGGCTCCCCCTCCTTCCTCTCGCCTTCCTCTTCTTATTCCTTTTCCTCCTTTTTCTCCCTCTTCTTCCTCCTCCTCCTCTTTTCTTCCTCCTCCTTTTCCTCCCTCCTCCTCTCCCTCCCTCCCCACTTCTTTTTCCTCTTCTTCGTCTTCCTCCTCCTCTTCCTCGACCCTTCCTCCCACTTCCCCCTCTTCCTCCTCTTCTGCTTCCTTCTTTTCCTCTTCTTCTTCCTCTTTTTTCTCCCTCTCCCTCCTCCTCTCCCCCCTCTCCTCTTCCTCTTCCTCTTCTTCTTCCTCCTCCTCTTCCTTTTCTTCTTCCTCCTCTTCCTCCTCCCTCCCCCTCCCCCTCTTCTTCCCCCTCCCCCTCTTCTTCCTTTTCTTCCTCTTTTCTTCTTCATCCTTTTTCTCCCTCTTCCTCTCCCTCCTCCTCTCCTTCCCTCTCCTCTTCGTCTTCCTCTTCCTCCCCTCCCCCTCTTCCTCCTTTTCACACACCCCTCCGGCTCACCTGCAGGCCTTTGGAGAGCGGACAGAAAACCACCAGCTGCACGAACCTCCGGAGCCGCCGCATGCTGGGTGGGCCGGCCGGCTGCCCTGGCCGGCTCTGACCCCAGCCTCCGGGAAGGTTCCCGGCGACCCCCGGGCGGAGGATCGGCCGGTCGGAAGGGCTGCGGATGGCGGGGAGGCGGCCCTGCTCTGCGCGAGGATGGAGCCGGCGAAGCGGAGGGAGGCGGGCGAGGGGCGAGGCAGCCCAGGCCTCCCTCCGCCGCCGCCGGCTCGCCGCAGCGGCTGCTCCTGCGGGGACCGGCCGCTCCTCCTCCGCCTCCCCGCAACGCCCCCCTTAAAAGGGGAGAGACGCCCCCAGACCCTTTCCCACCCGCCGATGCACCAGAAGCCGCCGCGGCTCTGCGAAGCGCCCGGGAGCAGCCAAGGCTGCTGGGTGAAGCCGGAGCTGGGCGCCCCCGCCGTCCCCAGAGGCCGCCTTCACCCGGGGAGGACCCCCGCTCCTCGGCAGCCGCAGCCCCTCCTCCTGTAGCCACCAGCCAGCTGCCCTCCCCCGACCCGCGCCGGCTTCCCGCAGCGCCTGCAAGCGCCCCCAAACCCCGGGCAGCTGCGGGTGGGGAGAACCAAAGCTTTGACTTTGAAGACGTTTCTCTTCTCCTCCGAGGAGCTTCTTCAGCTCTGGCTGGATGATGGGGAAGGGAAGGATTTATGCCTTATATCAACCCTTCCATTCCCCACCACATCCAGTCAGAGCTAAAGAAGCTCCTTGGAGGAGAAGGCAAACGTCTTCAAAGAAAACCCGAAAGTCCAGTTGGACAAAACCACTTTTGGAACAACCATGACCTCTGGATCAAGGAGAATCTCTACAGACTTTCAGCTCTACAATTTGGGATGAAGACCATTGGAATGGGGTGGGAGCAGGAATGGATTTCCAGAGGAAAAAATTGCAGACTTCAGGAACCATTTGCACCACTCAGGTGATCCTCCTGAGGACACAGAGAAACCTCCAAGTGCTTCAATGATCTTCTAAAAGGATGCAAAGGACCAGCTGTCTGCAAGGAGCATAAATCCTTCCATTCCCAAACTGTCCAGTCAGAAGAACTGAAGAAGCTTCTGTGATGAGAAGCAAAACGTCTTCAAAATAAAAAGCCAGAAAGTCCCATTGCCTCTTAGGGAAAAAAAAGCACTTTGGGATTTCCTCAGCTCTCCCTCCCCCACTTCCTGTTGAGGTTCAGGATCTCTATAATGTGTCATTCGGGCTCCATTTAGGATACTCTGTGAATGTACTTACAGACGGTTGTAAGTCATGGTTTATGCTTGTGTGTAGTAGTAGTGTGTGTGAGCCACTCAGGGGTGGGTTCCTGCCAGTTCTAACCTCTTCTATAGAAGAGGTTCCACAAATCTACACTGCCGTTTAGAACAGGTTCCAGCTCCCCCCCCCCCCGTCCGCACATCATCAAGATGAAGAGCGAGAGGAGGAATTCTGGGAATTGAAGTCCACAAGTCTTAAAGCTGTCAAGTTTGAACACTCCTGAGGTTTTTATTCTAAAGGGTTAGGTGTGCAAGGGTCTTGTAACTTGATAGCTTTAAGACTTGCACACTTCAATACCAGAGTTCCTGAGCCAACATGACTGGAGGAGGAATTTTGGAAGTTAAAATCCACAAGTCTTAAAGTTGTCAAGCTTGAATACCCCTGGTTTTTTTTTTCTAAACGGTTAGGGGTGCTTGTGTGCTTCAAATGCCAGAGTTTCTGAGCCAACATTTTGGTTGGTAAGCAAGATCGTTGTTAAGTGAGTTTCACCACATTTTACAAGTTGGCCACACCCACCCAGTCACATGGCCAACAAGCCACTCCCACCCAGTCACATGGCTGACAAGCCACTCCCACAAAGCAGACCACACCTGCAGAAGAGGTTATACATTTTTTTGAAACTCACCACTGGAGCCACTCCACACTGTGGCTTATCCGATCAATTTTTCTTAATGACAGATACAATTAAATTTTGGTGCGCAGATAGTTCTCAACTTGCCAACACAACTGAGCCCCCAAATTTCTGTTGCTAAGCAAGGCAGTTGTTTAATGAGCTTTGCCCCGTTTGACCACTTTTCTTGCCACCGTTGTTAAGTGAACGACTGCAGTTGTTAACACAGTCACATGGTTGCTATGTGACTCTGGCTTCCCCATTAGCTTTGCTTGTCAGAAGGTGGCACAAGTTTATCACCTGACCCCCCCTCCCCCCCCCGGGAACTTTGTGGCCATCATAACTATGAGTCAGTTGCCAAGCATCTGAATTTTGCTTGCATGAACATGGAGATGCTACAATGGTTGTAAGTGCGGGGGAAAAAAGTGCTATTGTAACTGAATGTTGTAAGTCGAGGACTACCTTTTTAGACAGAGCATTATGGTCTGGATGGCTGCATGACTGGTGGGAGAGAAATGACTCTGCCCCAAAGGTGCTTTTTCAAGAGGCAACTGGACTTCCTTGTTTTTTCTTTTGAAGACGTTTCGCTTTTCATCCAAGAAGCTTCTTCAGCTCTGACTGGATGGTGGGGAATGGAAGGATTCATATTTCTTGCAGAAAACTGGTCCTTTGCAGCCTTTTAGAGGGCCATTGAGGCCACTTGGAGGTTTAACTGTGTCCTCAGCAGGGTCACCTGAGTGGTGCAAATGGTTCCTGTAGTCTGCAATTTTTCTTCTGGAAATCCATTCCTACTCCCACACCATTCCAATGGTCTTCATCCCAAATTGTAGAGCTAAAAGTCTGTAGAGATTCTCAGTCATCCAGAGGTCATGGTTGCCCCAAAGGTGTTTTTTTCAAGAGACTACTGGATTTTCTTGTTTTTCTTTTGAAGACATTTCGCTTCTCATTAAAGAAGCTTCTTCAGCTCTGACTGGATGGTGGGGAACAGAAGTAGCATAGTATAAATCTTTATTATGGTCAAAGACCAGCAATACACATTACTTTTTACAATATATTAAAAAGTACTGTTATTAAAATACAACTAAAAAGGATTGACGTTAAAAGTGGATAATAACATACATGTTCTCAAATTGTTCAGGTCACTCCCTGGTTTATATGGGTAAAAAGCAGATAAGTATGGGGGTGAATACAACGGTTCAGAAATTGTTAGAGATATGTCCAGATAATTGGTACAAGAGGACAACTATACTTCTGTAACCACTTTTTTTCTTGTGGACATTGCAGCAACACAGAATTTTGCCACTGCATACGTGGTAGCCGGGTTTGTGTCCTGGAGGAGAAAGCCTAGATAAAAATTGTCTGCCCTCCCTGGCAATCTCTCTAATAAGGGGAGAATATGTGCAGACCTACAAACTCTGTATAGCTCATAGTACTAGAACATGTGAGATATCTTCAACTTCTCCTTTACCACATATACAAACACGTTCTGCTATTGGTGTTCTCTTATACATGCCCTGGAAGAGTGCTGAAGGAAGAATGTTAAATCTGGCTCTGAAGAAAGCTATTCT